GCTTACCCTGCCCCCCCCCCCCCGCCCCCCCAATGCAAGACACACCAATCTTCAGAGTATAAAAAAATTATTAACAAAGTAACAAACATGCTTTCTTCTCTTTCTCTTTCCTCCTTCGTTTTTGTCTACTCCAAAGGCCAATTTGTTTGTTTTTGTTTGTGGCACATGAGTTATTGGTACCCTTTGTCTGCTACATCACCATCCTTTAGACTTACTTCTGGGCATAACATGGAGATTCATTGTGTAGCTTACTGTTAACTGAGAGCGCAGGAAACAGCATGGCATTAAGCGCCTAGCAGTGACATGAGAGTTAATGTCACAGACTGGCAAAGAAACAAATTAGCTGAAGTGAGGTCTTTTTTTAAAATTAACTAATGATTAAGCATGGACAGCATTTGTGTTTTTGAAAGTTGAAGTCACCATTAGTTTGAGGAATAAAATAAGCTGTGAATCTGCTCTCAGAGCTTTGCCCCAAAGACTCTCATTCTCCCCACTTAAACAGGAGACTGTGAAACGGTTAACCCTTACAGCCAAGTTGTGAATAAGACGAGGCAGGAGAGAGAAAACTTGTGGTACTCTAGCTTATTTGAGAGTAGTTTTCAAAAAATTTGGGAAAAAAGCTGAGATTTGGTTAGTAATGAGTGGATGCAGATAGTACATGGGAGGTGAGGGCCCAGGCTATGCATGGACTCCCTGTTAGGTAGAGATGCAAAAGGCCTGCTTGAGAGGCCACTTGGCCCACATTCCCTGTAGTGGAGGGCTCCCACTGGCCTGGTCCTGCTGGAGGGAAAATTTTGCTGAACCTCTGTATCAGAGGATAGAGCACTGCCTAACTGCAGGGGGCCAGGGCTTTGGGAGATCGTGACACACATCCTGAGCACTAGGGCTAGACTCTTACTCACAGTGCCACTGTGTGGTACCTACAGTAGCTACCCCTAACACGGACAGCCACAGTAGATAAGACAATGACTAGATGGATGACGAAATGTCAGAAAAATACTGACAGTATCATTAACAGGTCCCTTTGTTCGACCACTAGGGCTTAAATGAGGCCTTAAAAATTGACAAATGAGAGAAAGGAGCTTGAGTAATTGGAAGGGGAGTCTAGCATCAATGATTGCTGATAAATATGCAATATTGTATGTGACTTCAACTGTATGTGAGTGTGTGTCACTAAGAAATGTGCTGCAAGACAATACTGAGTACTGTAGTGATTTAAAGAGCTCTCAGGCTTTAGGATTTGAGATCGACTTCTCCGACCACCGCCTTTTTTCTTTTTGAAGTCTTAATTCTGATTCATGTTTGCTCTTTCTCTCTTACCATCCTCCCTTCCTCTCTTACTCTTCCCTATTTAACAGTATTCACAAAAATGAACAAACTCATCCAGGAGAAACCAACACAGTCATACAGTGGGTTTTAACATGATGTTGCAAGAAAAAAAAACAAATTGAGGCGCTTAAAAGGAAGTGAACTGCCCTCTGCAGGTCTAAAAAACAAACCTTAAATAAAACTTGAAACTCAGAGCTGGTGTTTGTCTGCTGTGTTCTCACCACCATACTGTGTCTAGGAAGTTGACTATATAAAAAGAAAACTAAAATGCATTTCCTGAAGAAAATGACTGATGTTGACTCAGCATGCACACAATTCATATAGGATAATTTTATTTAGAATAAACCTTCAACTTTGCCCCCAAAATCTATTTTCATAATGTGCTGAAGCCTCTACACACCGTAGTCCCACTGCTGAGATCTTGTCAGGACTGTTTTATCCAACCAAACAGGCCTATTTAGTTTTACTATCATGACAAAAACCATCAAGGCAAACACCACTGGCCAAGATGGAAACAGCTAATGTAGCAACTGCAAATCCATTTT